ATTATTGTATATTTAATATTATTGCTCTATTTGCACTAATTCATTACCTTGAATTATGTTAAATATGCGCTTCTGGTTTTGTAGAAAAACCTATAAATATTCTAGAAGTTTGATCATAGTAAGTGTAATTCTGTTTTTTACTTAAAAATTTTTTTTTACATACATATACTTTAAAGAATACTTCCCTAGCATATTTTGAGAAACTTTTACAAATCTGCTTTTGTGCGGAAGTACTAGGAGTCGGCAAGGAATCCTCCTCCACACTCCAATCTTTTTTCACCAACTATTACCACTTTTTTAAGGTAAATTATTTTCTAGAAATTCAAATTTGACTTATATTAAGGCTATGGAAGTTTTCTTTTGTTGTCAAAAAGTTCTCACAAAGATATTGAGTAATGCTATTTTCTTTACAAAATCTTTCTCATTATTTAGAATGATCTGTAGAAATGGTCTTTGAGTAAATTAAGAGAGGACAAATGTAAGTAGTTTCACAGAAAATGCTTTTGTTTCCCTTTTCCACATTACTTGTGTTTATGTAATCATTTTCAATACATTTATTGTTTTTAGCTGTAGCTAGTGAAAATATTACTGTGATTACACGTTAATCAAATCCTCACATATCTGATTGCTAGGAATGTAAAGACTCTGTGTGATGCTTTTCTTAAATTTTAAAAATTAAAAATCTCCAGTTAGTGCAAAGTTTATGAAAACTCTAACCTCCCAAGAAAACCTTCAATGTAAAGGATATTGCTTACATATCTTTTATAAAGTCTTTTCTGATTGTAAGAAAAGGAATCCTTTGTTGTCCCAAAATAGCTAGAAGGTCAGCAATAAGCGCCTCTAGAGAGATTCCAGTTAGATATATTAAGGCAGATCTCATCGAATAGAGGTGTTTCTAAAATCATAATTACCTGTGAGTCTATTTCAAGTACTCCAGAATCTTGAGTAAGTGAGGGGAGGATCAGGAGTTATTTGAAAACTCTTCCTCCTTGAGAATTGCTACTATATGAATTCAAAGGAGAGCTTAATCACACCTTCTACTGAGGCATTTAAGATGAATAAGTGGAGAACTAACTTTTGAGGTGTACTTGGAAGGGTGAATAGAATTTTGACAAATAAAGATGAGATAATAGAAGAAACCCCTCGAACAAAGAGTGTGCTGAGGAAGAGACAAGGTCTTTTCTGTAAATATGATTCATATTGAAAAGTGTTTGGAGAAAACACTGGAAAAACTGGTGTATAGTCATACATTGGCTATCAGGTTGTGAGTCTAATGTCTTGGCGCTTAGTTCACTAGAATGGTAAGCTCACTAGAGGTTTTAGCGCAATTCCATAAAAGCTGCCCTGGTAAAGACAGAATTTATGACACTCAAAAAGAGAGATGGGATGTAGGCAAACTTTAAATATAGCAGGCAGTGGAAAATGAGTCATAAAAATACATATAAGTAAATTTGGAGAATGGCCATGCTATAAAAACAAAATATGACTTTCAAAGATTTGGATTTTGGAGTAATTACTGATCAGATTTTAAAAAATGTTACTCCTCTTGTTTTCTAGGCATGCTTGCTAGGGTGTACCAGTAAACGTGTCAAGTAGAAAAATGAAAATAGGGGTTGGAGATTTGCCTTTAGGAATATTTCAAATAACAGGCTTGTTTGAAGGCATGGAAGTAGATAGAAACACTTAAAGGAAAAGGATTTAAAATATAAGAGGCTAGAGGCATAACTTTGGAAAATGTTCATATTTTGGAGCAACAGAAAGATGAAGAACCAATAGAGAAGACCCATGGTAAAACACTGCTAGAGTTTGCTTTGGCAGAGAAATCTATGAAGGAAAATGTTTTATGTGACACACCTATTTTAACAGGCTGCAGAGATCTTAAAGAGTATTATAAAGAATATACAAGTAAATCCTTCTTGCAGCAGGATAGGAAAGTTTATGAAGTTTGGCATTCATTGGTAAAGAAAAGCAGAAACTTAATCATCCATAAAAAGAAAGAAAAAGTATAGAAAGGTAGAATTATCTTTCATTCCAGAGTAATATATACAAACATTTTGGGTGACCAGGTACATATGAACATATTTCTTTTACACAAATATGTGGAACATACTTTCTACCTCTGATATCCATGACAAGTCTAGATCATATTAAATTTATTACTAATTGACAGATATTTAAAATAATAGGAATAAATTTCTTTCCTTGTGAAGAAAGAGATCCCTAGCCTGAATGAAATTAATGTAAGGAGCCAGATGGTGTAAGTGCTTCTACAACTGATAGAGGGAAAGATCCACCATTAAGTAGGATAAGGGAAACGAAAATTACATACTGGATTAAAAGAACCCAATGACCAAGGAGGTAAGTGAATTCATGTAATTATTACCTTTTGGAGCCGCTTGATGTCGCTGTTTACAAAGAAGTTCTATCTAGCTAAGATGCAGACTTTCCTCTAGCAGTATGTGTCTGTAAATGCCAAAAAATGGCGGCTACGGCGGAACTGGATTAAGAGACTCCAGGCAATGCAGCAGTTCGTCTTTATATCAAACAAGCTCTTCTGATAGCAATAAACGAGTACTTGACATGGTGTTTTCTTGGCGAGGAGGCCCGGGATCCCGGTGTCTGCTGCTGTCGCTTCTACTCCTCGCAGTCTGGAAGGTCGGGAGCGGCCAGGTCCACTACTCGGTCCCCGAGGAGGCCAAACACGGCACCTTCGTGGGTCGCATCGCGCAAGACCTGGGGCTGCAACTGGCGGAGCTGGTGCCGCGCCTGTTCCGGGTGGCGTCCAAAGGCCGCGGGGACCTTCTGGAGGTAAATCTGCAGAATGGCATTTTGTTTGTGAATTCTCGGATTGACCGCGAGGAGCTGTGCGGGCGGAGCTTGGAGTGCAGCATCCACCTGGAGGTGATCGTGGACCGGCCGCTGCAGGTTTTCCATGTGGAGGTGGAGGTGAAGGACATTAACGACAACCCGCCCATGTTCCTGGTAAAGGAACAAAAGTTATTTGTTTCAGAATCTAGAATGCCAGATTCTCGTTTTCCGCTAGAGGGTGCTTCGGATGCAGATATTGGAGCGAACTCCGTTTTAACCTATAGGCTTAGCTATAGTGATTACTTCATGCTGGATGTGAATTCCAAGAACGAAGAGAATAAACAAGTTGAGCTCGTGTTAAGGAAACCTTTGGACAGAGAGGAAGCTCCCGAACATAGCTTATTCTTGACGGCCACTGACGAAGGCAAACCTGAGCTCACGGGCACCGTTCAGCTGCTGGTCACCGTGCTGGACGTGAATGACAATGCTCCCAGTTTCGAACAGTCTGAATATGAAGTAAGAATATTCGAAAACTCCGACAACGGAACGATAGTTATCAGACTGAATGCTTCTGATCGGGATGAAGGAGCGAATGCGGAGATTTCATACTCTTTTAATAGCCTTGTTCCACCCATGGTTATTGACCAGTTTAGCATAGATTCAAATACTGGAGAAATAACAATTCGAAAGAACCTGGATTTCGAAAAAGTGAATTCCTATAAAATCCGCATTGACGCCACGGACAGAGGCCATCCACCAATGGCTGGTCATTGCACGGTTTTGGTAAAAATCTTAGATATTAATGATAACGTCCCTCAGATTGCATTTACTTCCTTATCCTTGCCTGTGCGAGAGGACGCTAAATTCGGCACTGTCATTGCCCTAATTAGCGTGTCCGATCTCGACTCAGGTGTCAACGGGCAGGTGACCTGCTCTCTGACGCCACACGTTCCCTTTAAGCTGGTGTCCACCTTCAAGAATTATTATTCGCTGATGCTGGACAGCACCCTGGACCGCGAGAGTGTGTCGGCCTATTCTCTAGTAGTGACCGCCCAGGACGGAGGCTCACCTTCTCTGTCGGTCACGGCCAGCGTGTCCGTGGAGGTGGCCGACGTGAACGACAACGCGCCCGCGTTCCCGCAGCCCGAGTACACGGTGTTCGTGAAGGAGAACAACCCGCCTGGCAGCCACATCTTCACGGTGTCTGCGCGGGACGTGGACGCGCAGGAGAACGCGCGGGTGTCCTACTCGCTGGTGGAGCGGCGCGTGGGCGAGCGTGCGCTGTCGAGCTACGTGTCGGTGCACGCGGAGAGCGGCAAGGTGTACGCGCTGCAGCCGCTGGACCACGAGGAGCTGGAGCTGCTGCAGTTCCAGGTGAGCGCGCGCGACGCGGGCGTGCCGCCTCTGGGCAGCAACGTGACGCTGCAGGTGTTCGTGCTGGACGAGAACGACAACGCGCCCGCGCTGCTGCCGCCTGGGGCGGCCGGCGGGGCCGGCGCGGTGAGCGAGCTGGTGTCGCGGTCGGTGGGCGCGGGCCACGTGGTGGCGAAGGTGCGCGCGGTGGACGCGGACTCTGGCTACAACGCGTGGCTGTCTTTCGAGCTGCAGCCGGCGGCGGGTGGCGGGCGCAGCCCGTTCCGCGTAGGGTTGTACACGGGCGAGATCAGCACGACTCGCGCCCTGGACGAGGCGGATGCGCCGCGCCAGCGTCTGCTGGTGCTGGTGAAGGACCACGGCGAGCCTGCGCTGACGGCCACGGCCACCGTGCTGCTGTCTCTGGTGGAGAGCGGCCAGGCGCCGAAGGCTTCGTCACAGGCGTCGGCGGGCGCCGCGCGCGCGGATACAGCTCTGGTGGATGTCAACGTGTACCTGATCATCGCCATCTGCGCGGTGTCCAGCCTGTTGGTGCTGACGCTGCTGCTGTACGTGGCGCTGCGGTGCTCGGCGCCGCCCATCGAGGGCGCGTGCGGGCGGGGTAAGCCCACGCTGGTGTGCTCTGGCGCGGTGGAGAGTTGGTCTTATTCACAGCAGAGGCGGCAGAGGGTGTGCTCTGGGGAGGGGCAGCCCAAGACCGACCTGATGGCCTTCAGCCCCAGCCTTTCTCCTTGTCCTGTATCTGTAGATGTAACGGGAGATCCACAAGCTTGTTTGGACTTCTCTGGGAAGGTAGGTTTGCTCTAACGTTTTATTTATTATCATATTTATCTATTTTGTCTTGAAAAATATTCTTATTTCCTCATTGGTACATTTAAATAATCTTTATCCACTTATTCTAGACGTCTGCCAGAATTTTTTTATTTTCAGAAAGTGAATACCTTAATTTTTTAGCTGACTTTTGTGTTTCGACTTCCAGTTGAGAATCCTTATAAACCTTACGTTGAACAGATATCTGTTGGGTGCTGGATCAATTTTATTTTGAAACTGTTGTGGGGGTCATAGTGAATTCCTAAAGCAGTACCTGAAAACTATTTGGCGAAAACTAATTTAGGTGTTAAACATTGAGAAAACTTCACCATCACTCTTTATTTATTCATTTCTAAAGAATGCATGGTATTTAAGTGTAATTCTATTGTCTATTAGAAGAAGCCCCATAGCAGAAATTGTAGTAAGTGTTACCTTGTTAACTTTGTAGTTTTCTATCTTTCTCTGGGTAGAGACTGTCTAGATATCAGATTGGTCAGCACTACACAGTGTCTTTAACTTCAATGAGTAACTTCCAGTACACCCTAGAAAACAGTTACTTTACTTTAGGAATCTAATTCTGACCATAAATGTTACAAATATAAGTCTCATTCCAACTTGTGTAAAATGTGTTTCTAAATGTCTGACGATGTAGATCATAAGAAAATGTTAATTAAGAATCTTTCCTACACTTTGAAAATTTCATGAAATTCATATTTTACCTGATATTGAAGAAAATACTTCCTGACGCGTACTTTGTTTCTTCAAGAAGACTTTCTCCTTTTTATTGAAAGCTTCTGTTAGAGATATAATGCTTGGGCATTAAAGATATATGTACATGCTACTCTTTTAATTCTCTTGAAATTCTAGTCTGTAACTTAAAAAGTTACCCCTCCCAGTTTCGATGAGGATTAACTTTTTCTCTCCATATTCCAAAAGGCAGAAATCTGGAGATGAGGTTGTGCACATGTAAAGCCGCTACACATTAAACGTATATTTCTTGGACTGTGGCTTGAGACTTTCAAATTGGTGGTTCTCCATACTGTATCTTTAGTTCAAGCTTTCATTTTCTTTTTTAGTTGATATTTTAAAAACGTCCTTTGTACTTACATTGTGTTTTGTTGTGTGGTTTATATTTCTGTTCAGGTATTTTATTTTTTATTGTGTTAGGTATTTTACAAGGTATTTCTTAGTTACAAACTCAGTGGAACAAACTGCGAGTGGCCTTGAGAATAGAGCCACAACATAACCAGGAAATGCAAGTAAAATTCATTTAGAATAAAATACTTCAGTAATTTTTTGTCCTCTTGTATTACACTGTTTGGTATATGCTACAAAGCAATCTGATTTTTTGTGTGTCATTTTCTTTCTTTCAATGTTTAAGTGTTCTCTGAGCTCCTCTGGTAAAGCTTATGTTTGTCAGCACAACTCACCTTAAATTCAGACGTACACTTTCAAATGCCTCTGTCCTTGCACTTTTTTCAGGTTCCATGTGCCACTTGAACTTGGGCCCAGGTGTTTCATTATGTTATATGGATTGAGAAGTGCTAGAAATGTCTTGTGCCTCCCCCTCCAAGAAAAAACCTCACCACTCCTCTGGTCTCTTAGAGCTAGTGTTATTTATTACTTAGTATATCCTCCATAATTATAAATTTTATCCTTTATTATTGATGACTGTATTGATATAATTGATAATTTAGTCTTTATATTGATTTTATTCTCTCCCAGAATATGGGCTGTCATCATATGCAAATTTTCAGAAGATCAGTGACCATCTTAGCAATGAATTTGTCTTTTGGGTCATTAGAAAGCATGAGCACACTGGGATCCAAAGAGGTTAGGGTTCAGAAGAGCTGGGAAGTTCAATTAGATAGGTGAGCACATGGAAACCACTTTAGTCTTTTGCCCAATAGCCATCACTCTGTGCTTCTGTAGGTACCATTCCTCAACTCAAGCCCAACTCATGAAACCAATAATGAAGCTCCCCTATGCCAGTCCCTAAATTGTAGTTACTAGATAGGGCTAACTATGTAAGTCATAACCTAATCTCAGATGCTTTTGAGAGTGAAAGGGGCACTTTGAATAAGTATACAAGATCACAGACATAAATGGAGGATATCCCAGGAAAATTGAGGTCTATAGTTAGCCTATCCTTGGACAGATAATGTTACCTGTATTAGCAACACCTGGAGTCCATATTGAACATTCTAGTTCCCAGACTCCACCTCAGAATTGCTGAAAAATAAGTAGTACTGGCAAACTTACATTTTAACAAGGACTCTAGGTGATTCTTATCCAACGGAAGTTTTAGATCCAATAGGCCTGTAAGATGCTTGTCAAAGCAAGTTCCTATTATTTGACAGGATGTAATTTACCCCCCCTTTTCTTCTTTATTGGATATTTATATTGGGACATTTATGTCATTACCTGGTATAAAAGTGCACATAACAGGAATGGAGTTTAGTTTATATCATCACTTTGTGTTAAGATGATTAATCAATAATAAACATTTGTAGCCTCCAGATAGTAGCTCAAACTGGACATAGGTATTGTGGATGGAGAGATAACTCATTTTAACTTGTGCTTCATAAGAAAAATAAACTTCAAAATCAGAATTTGAATGGTGGTTGGCACTAGAATCATTCTAAAGGAGTGGAGAATTATGAAAACAGAACTTATTAGCACCCACAAGTCCATGAATTGTGACCCTCATTTTTGTCAATTTTCTTATTCAGAAATGTTGCTCTATTTTTCAGCTCTTAATAACAACTAAAAGAGTTCAAAATTATTGATCTCTTTTAGAAATATCTCTTTCATAAATCATAGCATCCATAAAGTAAAGAAGTTAACCTTTGTTTAATATCAAAGGTCCTCTTATTAAATTTTTCTTTTTTGGAAAAAGAGAAACCAAGTTTTTCCAAAAGCATAGATGTATTAATGGGGAATTTCAGTTTTGAACATATGATTCCAAGAACTTTGAGAGAGAGAAAAAGTATTTTTATAGCAGGTGGTGATGAAAAACATTATTGACTCTGATAAACCTATTAAATAACTCCAAAACTCTATATTTGGGGTATTTGAAAAGCTTAAATATAACAAAGATGAAAGCAGTTGTCACTGAAAGTAGAATTATTTTGTTTAGAATAATAATTTAGATTCTTTTTGTTCATATAAGATGTATATCAAAAAGTGAAACTTCTCCCTGTATAACTGATTTCCTAGTAAAACCACTTTTCAGTTTTCTTAAAGACAGGAACCACCACTCAGTCGCAATAGTAAAGGCATGGTAGAGTGACAATGTTCTATAGGTAATAATTTTTCCCAAGGAGCCTATTTTGGTCTTGAACATTATGAAAATAAATGTAACTAAATTGAGGCCTGAGAATAATTGCCATGTGTGAAGCACTCATTCTCCTTAAGGTACTATCCTAGGCACTTAATATGTATAATTCACACAACCACCGTATTATTATTATCATGCAAGTGGAAACTGAGACAGAGAGAGGTTAAATTATTTTCCCCAAATCACACAACTACTAAGTTGGAGGATAGGAATTGGAATGGCGAAATTTCTGATGTTGAAGCCAGTGATCTTCTCTCTATTTTAGTGATGACTGGAATTTAGGAGTTGCGAACACCTCATTGAGAGTTGATACTTGAAATTACTGTCTAAATAAGGTTTATTTAATCTCAAAATAATGACAAAGAGAAATGAATTAAGTGTTAGAACTTGAAAAGACCTAAACTTGTTACCAGCAAAATACTAGTACTCAGTACTATACAAATATTAAGGATATTTTCAAAATTAGCCAGTGATAACCATGATTAGGGAAGGAGTTACTTCTCTGAGATACTACATTCAAAAATGCTGCACTATGGATGGACGATGATTATTATTATACACGAAAAAGACGAAGTCCAGACAGATACAAATACGTAAAAATAGAATTAAAAGGAATGAAAGGAAAGTTTTTAAACTCATGGAATTGTACTTACACATTAAGCCACTCGATGTCGCTGTCTTCCACAAAATGGCTTTTCGGAACAAAGGCATAATCCCGTGTTTCTCAAGGACTAGGAAGGCGCTACATTCTGAGATCTCAGCCATTTCCATAAAATTGGATGTGAGAAACCAAATAGGAAAACTCGGGACGTGTGTGTGTTCTAGACCGCCGATCCATCGATTTGTAAAACAGGAGAAAAGTGTGATGTTGGTCTATAGACCCAGCGGCCCGAGAGCCTGGTGCCTGCTTCTCTCGCTTCTGCTCATCGCAACGGGGCAGGTGGGGAGCGGCCAGGTCCACTACTCGGTCCCTGAGGAGGCCAAACACGGCACCTTCGTGGGCCGCATCGCCCAGGACCTGGGGCTGGAGCTGGCGGAGCTGGTGCCGCGCCTGTTCCGGGTGGCGTCCAAAGGCCGCGGGGACCTTCTGGAGGTAAATCTGCAGAACGGCATTTTGTTTGTGAATTCTCGGATCGACCGCGAGGAGCTGTGCGGGCGGAGCCTGGAGTGCAGCATCCACCTGGAGGTGATCGTGGACCGGCCGCTGCAGGTTTTCCATGTGGAGGTGGAAGTGAAAGATATTAACGACAACCCGCCGGTCTTCTCCGTCTCAGAACAAAAGCTCTCAATACCCGAATCTCGACTGCTTGACTCTCGGTTTCCGCTAGAAGGCGCATCTGACGCGGATGTTGGAGAGAACGCAATGCTTACTTACAGGCTCAGTCCAAATGAGTTTTTCATTCTTGATATTATAAATAAAAAAGACAAAGGCAAACACCCAGTGCTTGTTCTACGAAAACTGCTAGATCGCGAAGAAAATACTCAGCTTCGGTTACTATTAACGGCAACTGACGGAGGCAAACCTGAACTTATAGGATCTGTTACTCTCCTGATCCTAGTGTTGGATGCCAATGATAATGCCCCGGTATTTGACCGATCCGTTTATGAAGTAAAGATGTATGAAAATTCAGCGAACCAAACGTTGGTAATATGGCTAAACGCTTCTGACGCGGATGAAGGGTTAAACAAAGAAATGCTATATTCATTTAGCTCTTTGGTCCCACTCAGCTTAAGAAGAAAATTTCTAATGAATGAAAGGACGGGAGAAATAAGATTAAATGATACTATTGACTTTGAGGATAGCAACACTTACGAAATTCATGTAGATGTTACAGATAAAGGAAACCCACCTATGGCTGGTCACTGCACCGTCCTAGTGGAAATCCTAGATGAAAATGATAATTCACCTGAGGTGGTTGTCACTTCTGTGGCTCTCCCTGTGCGAGAGGATGCTCAGGTGGGCACTGTCATCGCCCTGATCAGCGTTTCCGACCGTGACTCTGGCGCCAACGGACAGGTGACCTGCTCACTAACACCTCCTTATGTCCCCTTCAAGCTGGTGTCCACCTTCAAAAATTACTATTCGCTCGTGCTGGATAGCGCCCTGGATCGGGAGAGCGTGGCGAACTACGAGGCAGTGGTGACAGCGCGGGACGGGGGCTCGCCTTCACTGTCGGCCACGGCCAGCGTGTCCGTGGAGGTGGCCGACGTGAACGACAACGCGCCTTCGTTCGCGCAGCCCGAGTACACGGTGTTCATGAAGGAGAACAACCCGCCTGGCAGCCACATCTTCACGGTGTCTGCGCGGGACGCGGACGCGCAGGAGAACGCGCGGGTGTCCTACTCGCTGGTGGAGCGGCGCGTGGGCGAGCGTGCGCTGTCGAGCTACGTGTCGGTGCACGCGGAGAGCGGCAAGGTGTACGCGCTGCAGCCGCTGGACCACGAGGAGCTGGAGCTGCTGCAGTTCCAGGTGAGCGCGCGCGACGCGGGCGTGCCGCCTCTGGGCAGCAACGTGACGCTGCAGGTGTTCGTGCTGGACGAGAACGACAACGCGCCCGCGCTGCTGCCGCCTGGGGCGGGCGGCGGGGCCAGCGCGGTGAGCGAGCTGGTGTCGCGGTCGGTGGGCGCGGGCCACGTGGTGGCGAAGGTGCGCGCGGTGGACGCGGACTCTGGCTACAACGCGTGGCTGTCTTTCGAGCTGCAGCCGGCGGCGGGTGGCGGGCGCAGCCCGTTCCGCGTGGGGCTGTACACGGGCGAGATCAGCACGACTCGCGCCCTGGATGAGGCAGACGCGCCGCGCCAGCGCCTGCTGGTGCTGGTGAAGGACCACGGCGAGCCGGCGCTGACGGCCACGGCCACCGTGCTGCTGTCTCTGGTGGAGAGTGGCCAGGCTCCGAAGACCTCGTCACGGACGTCGGCGGGCACCGCAGAGACGGCGCTGGTGGATGTCAATGTGTATCTGATCATCGCCATTTGCGCGGTGTCCAGCCTGTTGGTGCTCACGCTGCTGCTGTACGTGGCGCTGCGGTGCTCGGCGCCGCCCATCGAAGGCGCGTGCGGGCCAGGGAAGCCCAGGTTGGTGTGCTCTGGAGCGGTGGAGAGCTGGTCTTATTCACAGCAGAGGCGGCAGAAGGTGTGCTCTGGGGAGGGGCCACCCAAGGCGGATCTCATGGCCTTCAGTCCCAGCCTCCCACCGTGTTCAGTACTAGATGCGGAAGTGGAAGAACAGTCTATTGGAGGGGACCCTTCTAGGAAGGTGGGTTATACCCTTTTTTTTTCATATTATGCTTTGAGAATAATATTTTGTTTCAACATTTTTTCCCCTCAAATATATGTCTCGGAATATCTTCATGCTTTTGTCTATATAGTGTATTCCAGAATACCTTAAATATTTCTAGTAATACCTGTGGTAATATAGATTATTCTGAAAGTCAATTTTATATTTTGTCTATCACACCCTGTGCATCAATTTTCGCTTGATATTTCAGCTTTTAAAATATGCCATTTATTCTGAATTCGTTTATATTTTCCATTTCAAATATTTGATGTAGGTTGCTGGTTTTGATGGGTTTTTCCCCCCAAACCAGTATCTTTTTTATGTTACTGATATTTGCAATATTAGTGCTTTAATTTATAAATTTATTTAATTTTCAAATCTAAATTTTGAAATGACTCCATTAAATTAAGAAAAAGGCTGCTCTGATCAGCACTCTTCATGGTGAAAATGTACTTTTTGCTCTCTAATTGAAGAATATTTATAGTGCAACATGACATAATGCATGCTAGACCTTCAATATTCAGGGTTTACACTTTATTCTTAATAGTACAGTATATACACTGGAAGTTCATTCATAAAAATGTCCTAATTTATGGAATTAAATTAAGTGTTTTTTGAGATTTTAAAATGTTTCTAAATCTTTACTTCAGTAGTGGTAGTATCTGTCCCTGTGTGTATTAATCACTTTTTTTTGGCAGAAGAGAAAATTTCATGGTTATTTACATATTTGTCGAGCAGCTCTTCTTTATTTACTGCTTTATCAGCACGAGGCATTGCTCATGATATTCAAGTGTTAGCTCTTCCGCTTTGAGGAAGGAGTCATGGTTATGTTTACTAATGGAAAGCATTTGAACACACTGTTTAATTTCAAGGAGATTTAAAATAATTACTTTTAATTATTTTAAGTCCAAATTAATATTAGAAGTGTGAAGGGGCCGGCCCTGTGACCGAGTGGTTAAGTTCGCACACTCCACTTGGGTGGTCCAGGGATTCACGGGTTTGGATCCTGGACCCGGACATGGCACTACTCATCAGGCCATGTTGAGGCGGCATCCCACATGCCACAACTAGAAGGACTCACAACTAAATAAAATATACAACTATATACTGGGGGGATTAGGGGGAGCAAAAGCAGGAAAAAAAAAAAGATTGGCAACGTTGTTAGCTCACTTGCCAATCTTAAAAAAAAATAGGTAAAAAAAAGAACTGTGAAGAGAAAATTGAATTATCCTCTTAGAATGTTTTCTACTGATCTGCTATCATACAGTACAATTTAGCTTAATAGCTTCTCTGGTCATCTTAAACGGGTTTGTGTTGGATGATCTAGACTCAGAAATGCAAGAGAATTAAATTACTTGGTGCCAACACTGCTCTATTAATTATGCCTTTCTGAAACTGGTTGTTACCTGATACCTATGATTTCTTTTTCTTTTTTTTTTGTTTATTTTATTGTTACCAAATAGCAATGCAACTAGTTTATCAACTTGACTCTGGTTCTTAGAAATTACTTTTTCCTTTCTGTGTGCAGACTGAATTTTTATTCTGTATATGTTTCATAAGTAGCTTGCAATAAAACTTGAAATTTCTATTCAAGTTTAGGAACATCAAAAAGGACAATTGTGGTAGGAATTTAAGCACAGAATTGCCTTCAATATTTTCCTGGATTTCCAGAATTGCCTGTTAATATTTTCCATGGCCAGTCTCCAACTCTTAGAGATTATAGGTGATAAGTTAATACAGAGTATGTCAAGTTGTGTATAATATTCCTTCTTCTTATATCTGCCCACTCTTTCAGCCCTTTACAATGTCAGTGTGCCCCTCTGCAGAAAAGTCTTGTCCCAAGATATCTGTTCACCTGAGCTATTAATGAAACAGAATTATGTGTTTACCAGTTTAGTCCTATTTGTTTAACTTTGCCTTCCTTTGGACATGTTTTCTTTAAAAATACAAATATTCACAAAAATATTAACATAACAAGTTAGCATTTTATCCAGCAGCATGATAATCCTAAGGTCTTTGGAGGAGGAAGTACAGAAAGGAGAGGAAATGAGAGTTCAGAATGAGAAGTTGAGAGATAGTGAAGACAAATTTTGCTAATTTTAGTCTGACAGCGTCTTCCTCTGACTTTGTCATTAAGATAAATATATTTTAAAACTTTGTGGGCAGTTTCTTCCATTCAATTCAGGATGACTAAAATTTTATAATGAAACCAGAAAATTTTCCCAAATCAAGGATTGCTTTTAACATTCTTGGAAAAAAAGGAATTTGTCCATTTTTTTTAAAAACTATAACATTTGATTTTTATAACCATGTTTAACATGCTCTTTATTAGATGGCATTAAAGTGAGGCCACTTATGAGTACTCTTTAGCTCTTGATGCCATAACATTTGTGATAGGCTGTTTCAAGAAGAATAACCAATCCATACCTTTATTGGTATATTATAGTTATGTGGCTATATGATAGCCTGGGTATTTGGGGTCTTTAAAAACTGTCTTTCATATATACTTAATTAACAAAGCAATCCTTTTAAACCAGAAATAGAGTGGACTTTTAGCATGGAGTCATTGCCAAAGGGACTGGATTATTTCAGTTGGCAAATATGAAGAGGCTTATTTCTTAGTCATGTCTCTTTGTGAATTTAGTCAACCCCATGTGCTAAAATTTATTCCTCTTCTCTAGCCAAATATGTTGGTCTTGAATTTATGGCTTCCACAATTAAAAAAAGAATTGGAAGTAGTTAGAATTATAAATCTTTGGCATAGATTTGTAATCATTGAATCACTATTTTCAAAAGTGTTCAAAATGAAGACTGACGTTCACTTTTACATAAAACCTAAGATTTCCTTGGGTAACCACTTATAATTTTTTTTTTAGTATCTTACTAGAAGGATTTCAGATATTGGATAGTTTGTTCCTTAACAATCTTGAGAATGAGTAATATGTTTTTTCTTTTTTGAGACGACATTGATACACTTTACTGCAATTGATAGGAGTTTTTGTGCAAATTTCAATGTTTTTTTGTATCTGAGATAAAATCAGAAAAATAAAATCGAATGAATGAATGAGATTTAGCATATCCTTTATACCCTAGTCTCCTTAAACCAATTCTAGAATAAAATGAACATAAACAAACAGAAGAACATAACTTGAATTCCAGATTCAGTGGGGTTTTTTTGTGTGTCAGAAAGAGATTATCTTTACAAATAGCAATGAATATAATGCAACTTTAAGATATCCTTCAGGATGGAAACAACAACATTCATTCTGAACAGATATAGTAATAGAAAAAAGCTTTAAAATGAGACAAAGATAAATATATTTTTTATTTCCAGGAGTCAGTACTTGGTAAGTTATTATCATCAAAGCAAGTAAGTCTTTGGATAAACTGATAAGTATCTTGCACATCAACATTGATTTGAGACATCGCTATGCTGAGGTAGTAGCTTAGAGAACTTGTACCTAGAATGTTCATCTACCCAATTGGACTAATGTTTAGAGTAATTTAACATAGTATAAAGATTAAGTAATTGGCTTATAGAGTGCTACTGATGACTAAACTTAATAGGAGGCCGTTCCAAAATAAAGCTTCCAAAAGTCTGAAAAACAGTGTCATTAGTAACTTCAAAATATGGACTTTTCATGTTTGTACACATGATAATATAGTTAGTGCAGTAGTACATTCTCTTAGATGTCTATATCCAAGATAAAACTCTCCTTGGAATTCTAATTGGTAAGACAAAACCATCTTTAAAGAGCTAGTGGTCATACACAAGGAATATATTATGAAAGAATTAAAGAGCCCACAAAGAAAAACATGGACAAATATGAAGGAATCGGGAAAGAAGCAATGTAAGTGAAAGAAACAGTATAAGCACAAACACACTTCCATTTTGAGCCACAGGATGTCGTTGTTCTCCAAGGAGAGGATTGTTTTAACAAGAAAATTAAGATTATTCCCGGACCAGAAAGACTCTCGACTGTTCCGGTTCCTTAAAGACTACAAACACACCCACATTGTTAACATCAGCTGGGATCTCAGGAACGAAGACTCCAAAGGAAGATATCAAAGGACCATGCTTTTCTACTCATGAAATGTTGATTTACTCGCAGAAGCGAGGCGTGATGTTAGCTGCTGGACCTGATGGCCAGGGAGCCCGTCGCCTGCTGCTTTCGCTTCTGCTCCTCGCAGCCTGGGAAGCGAGGAGCGGCCAGGTCCACTACTCGGTCCCCGAGGAGGCCAAACACGGCACCTTCGTGGGCCGCATAGCCCAGGACCTGGGGCTGGAGCTGGCGGAGCTGGTGCCGCGCCTGTTCCGGGTGGCGTCCAAAGGCCGCGGGGACCTTCTGGAGGTAAATCTGCAGAATGGCATTTTGTTTGTGAATTCTCGGATCGACCGCGAGGAGCTGTGCGGGCGGAGCCTGGAGTGCAGCATCCACCTGGAGGTGATCGTGGACCGGCCGCTGCAGGTTTTCCATGTGGAGGTGGAGGTGAAAGACATTAACGACAATCCTCCTGTGTTCCCAGCGACACAAAAATATCTGTTTATTTCGGAAACTAGGGCTCTTGACTCCCGTTTTTCACTAGAGGGCGCCTCCGATGCAGATACCGGGGCCAACGCTCTGCTGACTTATCAGCTGAGCCCCAGTGAGTATTTCTTTCTGGAAGTACCGACCAACGACAACGATGAGCAGGTAAAACCGCTCGAACTAGTACTAAAAAAACCTTTAGACAGGGAAGTAGCTTCGGAGCTTCTGTTGGTGCTCAAGGCAACTGATGGGGGCAAACCTGAGCTGACGGGTACTACAGAGTTGTGCATCACAGTGCTGGATGTAAATGACAACGCCCCAGTGTTTGACAAAGCAGTCCAGCGTGTAAAATTACCAGAAAATGCAAGAAACGGTACACTGGTTATTAGACTTAACGCCTCGGATTTGGATGAGGGTTCAAACAGCCACATTCTTTATTCCTTTGCAACTGATGTCTCCCCTAATACAGAAGCCTCTTTTCGAATAGATTCAGCCAGTGGAGAAATAAGAGTAAATGGAAAAATAGACTTTGAAGAAACTAAATTATGGAAGCTTCAAATAGAAGCAGTTGACAAAGGAAATCCCCCAATGTTTGGTCACTGCACAATTTTGATAGAAGTCTTGGACATCAATGATAATGCTCCGGAGTTGCTAGTGACTTCACTATCGCTCTCTGTTCCA